TTAGCTCAGCGGCAAAAGCGCCTGCCTGGCAAGCGCAAGGTCGTGAGTTCGGTTCCTGGTACCGGAGAAAAACCAAAAAAAAAAAAAAAATAAAATAAAATAAAAAATAAACAGTTCCAAAAGGAGAAGAGCTAGAAGGGGCCTATGAAAATATTTAAATACATAATAGGTAAATATCCTTCAATTTGGTAAATCTTGATAAAATTATAAACCTACAAATCCAAGAAGTCCAATAAACACCAAGCAGCAAACCAGCAAACGAGAATAAGCTAATACCTGAGATAAAACAGAAAACCCAAGTCCACTCAGTTATCCCAGAAGGAGAAAGGGGAGAAAAGAATAAAGAATAATAGGACAAATAGAAACGAATACCAAGATGGTAGATTAAAACACGTGGTAATTATGTAAGAAGTAAGTTACCTAAATACTCCAGTTAAAAGCCAGGCTGATTTTAAAAAGGAAGCTCCAAGTCTATGTTGTCTACAAGAACAGAGAATACCCCACATAAAGACACACATAGCCGGGGATACAGCTCAGCGGCACAAGCGCCTGCCTAGCAAGTGCAAGGTCCTGAGTTTGATGGCCAATACCAAAAAAAAAAAAAAAAAAAAAAAAAAAAGACTCATTTTAAAAAGTCAAAGGCTAGAAACGTATCACATAAACACTGTTAATGGCAAGAAATCTGCAGTTATTTTATGATTTCAAAGGGGAAAAAAAACCAAAAAAATCTCAGGAATGTTGTTAACAGGATGAGCAGACTTCGGAGCCAATACTATGTTACTGCAGCTCTCGGTGATGCCAGAGAGGGACAGAATCAGAATCTCAGGAGGGCGCGGAGGTCTGGCTGGGGTCTGCGTCTGCGTTTCTAATGAGCTGGGCCAGGGGTATCTTTGCTGCGGGTCTTGGGATCCACTGAGGAAATTCTGTCTTAGCCTGACCGTTTAACCTCTTCCTCTAGAGGAGGCTCAGAATCTCACCTAGAAAGGATAGTGCAGTAAAGAAAAAGGTAAAAGGAAGAAGGGAGGTTCCTGAAAGCATGGATGTTATCTCCTGACAACTGACTAGCTGGGACAAACGGCGGGATTTAGGATCAACGGAAGCCTAGGATTCTGCTTTATACAACCAGTGTGGGAAAGGGTGCAACACTGACATAAGGATTGTAAGACACATATTTTTGGGGTGAAAACAGCCCAATTTTAGATTTGTGGAATCTTCAGCGCAGTACTTACCGCGGTGGCCCGCTCTGCGGTGGATATTTACAGACTTAGTCATTTTGCCATAGTCAATTTATGGACTCTTGGGCGCTATGAAAAAATTTCATGTGAGACACGCGCTGGCCCCACGTGGGCCTTCCTGGCCTCTGTATTTGTGTGGCACCCGACACCGAGACTCCGCGAAGGTGCACGTCTGTCTGGGATAAAAGTCAAAGCAGCGGGACCAGAGATCTCTGTGTCCTCATAGCAAGGCACGGTTGCTGAGAGTGAGTGAATTGGAAGGGTGCACCTTCTCAGGACATTTCTCAGCGTCATTCACGGTGGTATGTGGTTGACTTTATAGAGGGAATTAATATCGTCCTCTCTGTTTACGAGTTATTCAGACTGCTTGAAAGGTTCCGGTTGCTTCCCCATTCCGAAGGTTTCGTGTTGTTTTACCAAGAGTTGGAAAATGGACGGCACCGAAGCCGTTTTCCCCGCAAGGAAGAGGAGTGTGGCCACGAGGCGATTGTAATGTGCCCATCACAAAAGATTTGCAGCTCCGAAAGCTCGAGGCTCTGCACGCTGCGGCCCGGTAGGAAGGGGCGCCCCGCTCTCCGCTCACCTGGGAGCCGGTCCGGCCCGGGTCGCGCAGGTGGCCAGAGCAACGGTCCTTTCCCGGTGCCCTAGCGACGTCGGTGCGCGCCCCGCACAGCCGTCCGCGTCTATGCGCGCACAGCCCCGTGATCCCGGGGAAGTAGGGGGCCGCCGCGCCTTGCGCTCAGCCGGGCCGCATCCCGGGACCGAGCCTGCCCGTGCGCGGACCCGGCCGCGCGCTCCAGGAGGGCGGCACTCGGGGCGCCGGGCGCGCGGAGCCCGGTGCGGGAGCCCCGATGACGCACCAGTGACGTCGACGGCGGCGGGCGGGATTTCCCGGCCCCTCCCGGGCGCTGGGCGAGACCCTGCGCGCAGTGGGCGCGGCCAGCGAGGGGCGCAAGAGGCGAGAGTCAGGGGTCCGCCGACCCGCACCCCACGGGTTGGCGCAGACGTGGAGCCCTGCGCCTGACGACCTCGCTCTTGTGCGGGGCGGGCGAGTGCAGAGGGCGGGTTCTGCCGCCGCGCCCCCTCCCCAGCTGCGCGCAGTCGTCCCCGAGGGCCGAGGTCGCG